AAATATCTCTCATAATATTTTTTTTCCATAACCAAACTTAATATAGTTTTTATTCAAATATGTCAAAATAAATCAATATAATATTGTATTAATCAATACTAATAATTGAAGTTAATGATCTTTATTAATACAAATCTTATGCTTAGAATTAAGAACTCTATGTTCGGTTTTGCATTTTATATTTAGGTCATATTTGTCATCCTTTAAAAAATTAAAGTCATGTTTGGTACAAATTAAAATTCGATTTTAATCTCAAGTCAAAGTCAACAATTAATTTTAACCACACATTTCATGAGACCCACAATTTTTCAACCACACATTCCATCAATTTTTTTTAATCAAAATCTACTAAAAATCTGATTTTAATCTACAACAAACAGGGGCTAAATTGTTTGCCAAATTATCATTTCTCCACCACACATTCGCAAAATAAAATATTTTACACATAAATCAATAAAGTTTCCCTATTTTTTAACCATACATTCTCCAAAAAATAATATTCCATAACTCATTATTCCGAAATAAATTCTGTCAAACAGGCACTCAATAACTTGTCCACACAACATCGTAATCTAATGACGATAATATCCGTTGATTAGTCGATAAAAAATTATTAAGGTAACAATCAAATAATAATAAATTATCCCCACCCCCACCCCCACCACCATGGTAAATAGGATATAGAACATGGTCTCAGTCTCGATCTCTTTATATTATTTTTAATTTAAATTGTAATGAGAATATTTTAATTTCGTCCACGTCGTGTCTTGCCTGCCAAAAATCCCTAACGGAGCGGGACCACTCCATTCCGGTTCCATACCTATTTAGGACCAATCATAGTGGTGTCAAAATGGGGTCGATGGGTAGCCCAGGCTTGAGAGACCAAAACTATTGAAAACCAGACTGCAACAAGCCCAGCCTGTTGAATTTGTGGGTTGGTCCACCAATTATGACGGGCCACATTGAATTGAATTTTCATCCCAGCAACCACGAGAGTAAGCTAGTTGGCTCGATTAATTGAAAAAAAGTTGTCTTGTTACTAAAAGAATCTACTTGTAAAGTGACTTTTTTATATTTTTCACGAACACTTTTGCTATATAATTTGCAAATATGCCAATAAAAATGTTTAAAATTTTTAATTATAGATCAAAAAGATGCGTTGACTCAATGTGATCTGTGTACTTACAAGGTCGACGAGTTTACTGTCCCTTCATTAAAGATTGCGAAGACAATTCGATATAGGTGTAGACCATATATTTAGGCTTTGTCTGGGAGGGATTCACCTTTTTTCCTTATAATTGATTATTATACCGTTTTTGTTGACTTTCTCTCACAAACCATACCAGCCGCAATTGTGGAAAATGGACCGTTGATGGCTTCAACGGTCAGAAAATGCCTTTTACTCCACTTTTAATTGTGCCCAGACAGGTTCATAATAACGACACTTATACT